GTGGTCATGGCCCTCAACTGGTTGTTGGATTATAGTGGTCAGGATCGCCCCCTCCCCCTCCGCTACTTTTACTTTTGTATTTATAATGTTTCTTGATATTTTCAAAATTGAAAATCTTAACTTCTATCATTTTTTTTCTTCGTCACGAAAAAAATGCTTTTAAGGGAAAATACCTATTTTATGGCTTTTAATTACGCAATATTAGCAGCTATGTAAAATATCACTGTTTACGGTTTGCAGCTACCGATCAAAATCTAAGAAACATTATGTTTCATCACTAACGCTCGAAAAACATTATCGAGTGTTCATTTACTGTATGAGAAATCAAAGTGAGAAATCGACAAATAATACTGCATCATTTTTTAAAATGTTATACAACACGATTAGAATTCTTTCGTTGTTTATTACGCAAGAGATTTTTTAGTATTGTGCAATACAAATATTCGCTCGAAACTGGAAATAACGCGTGCGCTATTGAATTTGTGAAAACAACAGACCACTTTTATAAATTGGAAAAAGTAAAAAATACCCGGATAATAATTATTTTGAACCAATACTAACGAAACAAGCAAGTTTCATCGACAACAGTGTTCCTCGCTAAAAAAAAAAAAAGGAAACGCGACCAGGTTTGACAGGTGCTCATCTTCTAGATTAATGGAACTTGACAAAACGTGAAATAGTAGGAAAGAAAAGTCGCGTACATAGTTCGATACGTAAGATGTTTCTCACCTTTTATTTTCATTTAAACAACGAGTTGACTGGCGAATAAATGGACCGTAGTTTGATCGGCATCTCGATCGCAGTAACACGCGGTTCACGCACACTTTTTTCGTCAAGCACCGATTCACGGAAACTGCGTTTCAGGAGCGCGCGGCACAACGGACCGCCACCTTGCTGCGGAATGATTTACCGCGCATGCGTACTTTCCCTTCGCTCAATTCAACTTCACTCGTCTTCGTCATCCTCTGGATGAAGACTCCACATTTACTTTCCAATTTGCATTCTTTTTCCATTTCATTCGTCCCCTTTTTCAAACTCTACCTTTTTCGGGCTACCATTTATTCTTCCCCTATCCTACCAATATAATATTTCGTTTGTTCGTTTGATTAGTAGTTAAACGTAAAGTAAACGCAAGGATATTTAGGAGCTTTATGATTTCTCAGATGTTCTTGACATTACCAAAAATGTACTGATGTCGCTTATTAGGGGCAAGAAATTGATATATTGTTTTCAGTAATATTACTAACGTGTCGTAAATGTGATATTTCTGAAATTTGAAATGCATGTAAAGTCTAAAGAGTACTTTGTAAGACATATACGTGTATACAATATATAAATAAAGTTATATTATCGTACTGTGAATATACAGGAATCACTGGTCTGTTCATTGATACAGAAATCGATTAAATCAGTAAACTGATAATTTAATTGCTCTATCAATGAATCCAATTGTTCAAACGAAATCGTTTAAAAACGTTGATGAAAATTTGACGGTTGCGTGGGTTGTGCTGTAGAATAAACCATCCCTGGAGGCTGTTGATGGGTCATTGCATGACTCTGATGTTGATGAAATTCTGGAGCTCCATGAGGACCATTGAGTCTCACCCGCTTTGCGTTTTGTCCATGATTATGATCGCCATTCCCTTGTTGTTGTTGATTTTGCTGCTAAAATTTTACGAAATTCGTAAGAAGGGAAACCAATTAGACGAATAAATCTATATACACTCACAGTTTGTTGTTGATTTTGCCGTGCTTTGTTTTCAGTCTTTTCCTCTGTATCGTCGTCCGTTAAGAATTCCCGTTTCGGATAAGGAATAGGGCAACCGGCAAATATACTACAACATTATTTAATTAGATTGACTCTAGATTTACCAGTAATCGATCGATATGAGTGAGACAATATCACATAAATTGTTACAAACATACTCTTGCGTTGGCAATGGTTCTTCTTGGAAGTAAGCATCTTGCATAGAATGTTCAGAAGTTATTCGTTTATTTGGATCCATCATTAACAGTTTTTGAAGCTGAAATGTTTAAATATTATTATTCAGAAAAATGGTTAAGGCTTAAAATATTTTACTTAGCCTCACCAGATTAAACGCTTTACTATCGGGTTTAATTTTATGTCGATCCATATATTTTGTAAGAGAACAATTTGCATAGCTGTAAAAAGGTTTATATTTAAATTAAAATTAAGTTACAAATTTTAATTTTTCTGTAAGACAACTACTTTTAAAAAAATACTAACTTTGATCTTTTAAAGTCTTTCAATAATGTAGGGTGTTCTGGCATTTTCTTAATATCTTCCCAATCCTTTTCCAAAGGAAATCCCATCACATTGAATATCCTGAACATCAAAGAAACTTGTTTCTTTTTATCTTCTATATTATGAACATAGTAATATATCAAACAAAATCTTTACCTATCTAATTGATCATGATGATAAGGATTGCTAGTCTTAATATCTTCTTGTCTACAATGAAATATAGGTTCAGAAGTTAAAAGCTCTGCAAATATACACCCAATTGCCCAGATATCTGAAACAACAGAAGGAAAATACTTGGAAGCAATTGTGCACGAACAGTTAATTTTAATTTTTAAATATATAAAAAATACCTATAGCTTTCGTGTAATGTCTAGCACCTAAAAGCAATTCTGGTGCTCTATACCAAAATGTCACTACGACTGGATCCAAGTCTGCAAGAGGCTTTAAGGGGGCATTGAATAATCTAGCAAAACCCATGTCTGCAATTTTTACACGTCCCCTTTCATTTCCTTCTCCCATTACTAAGATATTTGCTGGTTTCTAAATTATAATATATCAAGTTAATCATACATAAAATATTACACATATATGTATAGTGTTTGCAAATAATAATAAATTACCAAGTCCCTGTGAAGCACCCAATTGGAATGTAAATAATGAATACCATCTAGAATTTGATATAATAAAGATTTTACCATACCCTTTGGTACCATAACAGGTTTTTTATTAGCCTTTGCTGCTCTATGAAACTTTATTATATGCTATGGATTAAAATAAGAAGCTATTAATATTCTACAAGGTAGAAAGTACTGTTTAATAAAATAGCTGTATTATTAGGAAGTATTTGTAATAAACATGAACATACCCATAAATCATGTTCAGCAAAATCAAATAGTAACCATACTTTGCGATCAATGTGTGATAGAAAAACTCTAATTAATGTAATCACATTTACATGTTTTAGTTCCCTAAGTAACTGTAGAAAAGAGCATATCAAAATATTTGTAGTAAAATTATTATTACTACATATAATGCTGTACATATAGAAGAAAGGATCAATACTTACTGCAATTTCTCGACATGCAGACATTGAAAGACCTGTACCTTCAATCTGCTTTAGGCCAAAATCCTTTGTGTCTGGCCGAGATTTTAATTCGCTATCTGGTACTCTATTCAAATATCAAGTATATACGCATTATAATCAGAGAAAGTGAAAAGGATAAAATGAAAAGAATTCACACCTTGTATAAATATTTTATGTAATGTACTTAATGTCTAGAGTAATTAAAATAAATCAGTGTATATTATATGTAGATAATTCTAGAAACCATACAAAACATGTATAGGAATTAGTTTTATTTAAACATTGAAGTAAAAGCTACAATCTTCTAATAACAAAAAGATATTTCCTATAAATTTATACAATTTATGAAAAATTAAAGATTATTCTTATTCATGTAAAATATAATAGTATTAAATGCTACGCAATCTTCTATGTTAGGTTAGAAACACTAACCCTTCCTTTCTGCGAGCTTTATAGACATGCCCATAAGTTCCTCTTCCAACTTTACATCCTTCGAATTCAAAAAGATCTTCGACTTTCGTTCGATCTGTATCAGTTTTTAGTTTAAATTCATAATCCATGATTCTTAGTACTGTTAGGACGATTATCAACTATAAACAAACATTTTAAATGTGTACGTAGATAGACAAAGAGAGCGATCAACCTTCGCATATACTACCTTGATCAGTTCATTAGACTATTTACCATGAATACAATTGTACATGAATACGTCCTCTGGTGGCAGTATATTCTTTTATAGTAGAAATCCACATTATAGTCAGTAGATGGATTAATAAATGATCAATTTGTACTTGCAACATATTAAAAACTAAGTAAACTACTTGTACTTAAATGGATTTCTTAAAAATATAATACAATACAATTAGAAATGCCATATAATATAAAAAAGGACTACTTACAGATATGGATAACTCGTATTATTCTCTTTCGTGTATGTGTGAAAACTGGTGAAAACAAGCCTTGTTTGGTACAGTTGAGACGACATGAGTATGAGGATTATTGTTGTTGGTATTAAGTTATCGATAGAAATTAATAATTCGTTATAATTTATAATACTAAAATGCCTGCAACCGCTTTACACAAATTTATAACGTTGATGGGACTATTGTCAATATTACATACAGCATATTCAGCTGCCCAACGTACGTACTGCAGTTATAATTAAGAATTTTTCGATCGAATTACCTTTCCTTAATATGTCTTAGGTTAAGTTGTTTGTATCTTAAATTGTCTTTGTGCAATGCAATTCACAGATCGTTCGTATTTACGGATAACTGAACAGGAATTCATTACCTTACCAATTGATGTATGTATAAAATTAGATTTACAAATCCTGGCATATAAAAAGTATGGTGATACGTTTTTATTACAGATTTTAATACAAGGCATTATCAGTTTATTTATGGTTATGTATGGAGTAATGTATATTGCCGGTGATTTTAAGGAAATTCGAGCAGTGGTTGATTTAGAAAACAAATCGTGGGAAACATTAAGAAATCTTCCATCATTTCAAATATTCAGTCATCGTGGAAGATCTTTATCTTCTTAACGCATACAGTGAATCTTATGTTTTTATTATTAATTTTTGGGGGAGGCACAATAATATCGTCATTCAATAAGTAGTATATTGTAATGTACGGAATTGTGTAATTTAAGTAATTATTTATTATTTGATCATAATTTTATTACATGTATAACAAATACAAAAAGATATTTGTGGTAATATAGTATGAATTTTGAATCACATATTAAAATGTGTGAATGTACATATTGTTTCTAATAGATGTAACAATAGAATACAAATGAAATAAATATTAAAACTTTGTGTTTTCTTATTCGTATATTTTATATTTATTTTATGCAAAATACCAATGAACGAAGAATAAATGTAATTTCATGTAAAGATATCACTTCTTTTGCTTCTTCTTTTCAGCTTCTGCTTCTTTTTCTCTCTCAATTTCAGTAACATATTCTCCAATGGTATCTAAATCTAGCATCTACAGCATAAAAAATATGTGAAATGAATCGTTCAAGAAAAAGATAGAAAATAAGAGTCGTAAACTTTATATACCTGTAGAGGTTGACCGCGTCGCATTACGGCGATTTCTAAATTTTTTCTTCCTGATTGTACAACTTCTAGTAAAGCTCTAATAGCCAATTTTATCGTTCCTTTTTCTGTCGCTACTTCTTCTGGTGTATAATATTTTTGTAAAAATTCATGAACTGTTTTAGCATTTCGACCTGTCGCGTTTGCCTTTAAAAAGAAATTAATATTTTTTCCTTTTTCTTTTGCAATTAACAAGAATAGTCTTTATGCAGGTGACATACCTTCCACTCATAATAAATGCCTGAGGGTTCTGTTTGATACAGGTGTGGAACGCCATCATAATCAAAACCAGCTAACAGACATGATATTCCAAATGGTCTTCTACCATTACTTTGTGTATATTTCTGTTTCAAACCTAAGAGCAATGATCAAGTTATTCGTCTTATAAGCATAGACATAATTGAAATGTAACAAGTAAAATATGTTTATTTACCTGCAATGTACCTAGTTATATATTCCAATGTAACTGGATCTTCTACAGTTAATCTGTGACTCTGACACTCAACTTGTGCTCGATTAATTAGTACTCTTGCATCTGCTGTCAAGCCTTAGAACATAAAACAAGATATACATTAAAATATAGTATGTCTGTAGATCATACTACAAATATTTAAAAGATCTATCTATAAACGAACCTGCAAATGCCATTACAACATGTTCATCTAAGAGACATATCTTACGAACTGTCCGTTCTTCTTGAAGTTTTGCAATGGACTTCTTTTCAACACCTAAAACGACTACGTCGTTACCACGAACGCCAACCTGATATAAATCAATTAAAAATATTTTCCTTTTACAAAGATATACATTACAAAGCATAAAGACATACATCATACATATGAAAAGTATTTCAATTTACTTCAAATTCAATTTATTAACTATACATATTTAAACGTACTTAAATATTATTATGCAAAATTTCATATAGAAAGAAAGATATACTTAACGCAAAAGATATACAGAAAGTTGAACAATTTAACCGCAAACATAAAAGAGGTTAGACAAAATATATCACCGTACCGCAGAAGAACCTTTTCTCACGGCTTCTTGTGCATATTCCACTTGTAGCAAATGCCCATCTGGTGAAAATACCGTGATAGCTCTATCGTACCTTGCTGTCATTATTTCAAACTTTACAAAAATGCACTTCACTTACTTCGTCCACGAAATGACTTCGCCGTTTTTCGAACTGATCGCTACATTCGCTACTCATTCAGAGGCTTGATTCCATTTCTTACCGATAGAGGGTAATACAGCGGAACGTATTTCTCTCGACAATAGGAATAACGGGTTGAAATAGGGAGGATGCGGGGTTGAAGTCATTTTCGGGGAAAAGGGAACAACGGTCACGTGGTACTTTGGTGCCGTATTGGCGATTGGTTATGATCACGCAAGCGCAATCTTATTCTTATCGAGTAAAAGTGAGTTAGGTGAATTGACATATTCATCTAATAATGTCATAACAGTTTGACATATATGTGAAAGAACTATTAGAAATACGTTATGCAAAAGTAGCAGTACATATATGGGTAAGAAATTTCCAGTTACCGGCCTAACTAATGAATTTCTAGGCAATTTTATTGGGGGTGAATTATTTTCGAAGTTAGAAAGTCATATGTCTAAGCAAGGCACGCTTGACAGTGATATTTAGATTATATCGCAAAACAAGCCATTAATACCTCAACGAATATACGACACATCAATGTAAGCGACGCATCAATGAGTATCAAGCGTTGCGTCAATAAATGTAATTGATGATAAAATCAATAAAAAAGAATTCTATTTAGAAATTATTGACGATGTATCTTAATCTCCTTATGCTATTGATATTGACGATTCAATTTATATAATTGCACAATTTATCGAAGTTTCGATATTTAGGTAATTAGATTAACATTTAATCGCTCGGTGATAAGTTATATGGTGTTGAAAAATTCGCTGAATCATGTTGAATATGAATCATAATGCTCTGTTATGTGCAGAAAAATGAAAGATAATCTTCTAGTTATCTCTATTTCTATATAATCTCATTAAATAATAATTTATTGAATTTATTGTATATTTGTCTATGCCCATGGTAGTTGCAAAATTAGATACCAAACAAAAACAATAAAGATATTTAATATTTATAAAATTCTTACGTCTCGATGATATGCATTTATAGAACACCATTAACATGTCAGTACACTGATATATAAAAAAAACACTTTGTATCTCTGTTCTACGGAGAATGTTCTATCTTATATGTTTCTACATACATACAATTATTTGTAAACTAAAAGTCTCATTTTGAAATTTTGCGCATTCAGCTAAAACCAATCAGCAATGCGGCACCAAAATACCACATGATCGTGTTTCCCGCTCCCCACTGCAAATAACTTCACTCTCCTCGCCTAAAGTCTAAAGTAGTGGTTTATGCTTCATTCCGTTATTGCTATGTCCATGATCATTTTCTACCAGTTTTTACATACATATATCGATAGTGACATAACACATTTGCATAACACATCGTTTGTTATTGCTTGTTTTTCCAAAAATGTAAGAAATAACTTACATTTGCTTTCAAGAGAAAAAGAAAAAATATTGCAATCAATACATAACTGTCGCTCGCTTAACACGTAGAATTACGACCCTGTCTTTTTATTAAGAAAAACTTACGAAAAATAATATCATGTCGCGTCCTTGTAAAAACCGCCAAGTTATCGTTTCTAGATTTTTAAAAACTTATCAAATGAGAAGAACAGTATGCATGTATCTACTGCTGTAATGAGTTGCGTTCTTAGAAAACCATCATATATTGGAGAACAAACGAAAAAGGTATGTACGCGGTATCGAGAAAGATACAATAAATGAACCAAATTTTTTAAAAATAACACCAGCGTTCCAAAGGTAATGCAACAGGTATTAAAGAAAGATTATAATATTAATTAATGAAACGTTTTGTCGTTTGGCGTACTGTATATTAAAAAAGATATTAACAACTTTGGAGGCTTCTTAAGTAAAATAAATTTTTAAGATAGATTTTTAAATAAAATAGTAGGATACTACTTTGCGAATGTATTGGTAGTAGTGGGGATGAATAAATAGAATCTGTATCATGCTAGTACAAAAGGCGACGATCGGCTTGGTGAAACGTTCAGTCAAGGTTGAGAGCTCTCTTATGCTGTGTTTGTTCACGTAATATGATCGGGTTGGTAAAATATTTATTATTTTTGACACTTCATTTATTATCCCTGTCTAACGATTTCTTTTTGGTAAAATCTTTTTTACGCAAATGTCCGTTAACTATTGTGCGAAATCGGTGTCAGAGTTTTAACATTTGTCCTCGATGAAAGTTACTCGTGCACCTATGTGTGTAGTCCTTAGATCGTTTTTAACACGGAGGAGTTGCTTCGATGAAAACTGACAGGATTTAATTTAATAAAGACAACTGACTGAATTTAATTTTTTAGAGCTTTGACAAATTAAAAAAATCATTCTCAAGTGTTATTCATCTCGAATGTTTATCTTAAATGATTATATAGTGATGTTCTTTGCACATTACATGGTGTACGTGAGAATTAGTATGTATTACTGTACGCAAGTTTTATGCAATGGATCATAAAAATGAAGCAATTACGCGAAATATGTGAGTTTTAGATAATATTTACATTTCTTATCGAAGTACTATCAGATACGGTGCGGCCGTATTATATTTCGTTAATTTTTTAAATAGTTTTACATTTTCAAACTTTGTTCCGTCATCGTTAAAATAGTTGAAGGAAACAAATTACAATATACTATACATATAATACACATATTATGTATATATGTATATATATAGATATAGATATAGATGCAACCGTATTACATACATGTATGTATGTATCAATAATATAATATATATAATGTCTTTATATTTAATAATTATAAATAATTATATTTTATAATTATTTAATAATATAGTGTCTTTTTATTTTTCACTCGATATTTTACACTCGATAATATGGAAAAATAAAATAAAATTTTTGATTAATCGGATTTCATATTGTATTTCCTTTACTTCTGTTATTACCGAACAGATAACGCGAAATAATTGATATCATTTGTTGATATTCAACGTAAAAAGGAGGCATTCACAGATGTTTTAATTATCTTTACGAAGTTTGTTATTATAAAAGGGTATATATACATGCATATAATCACTCGATAATATTTTTAAGTACGTAAAGATATTTCTACATAAGACGAATTTCATTTTGCTGATTCGATCGAAACGGTCGATATCAACACTCGAAGTGATCGTGCATCCTTCTTCCGCGTATTTAAAATAAGAGACAAACGCAATCTGTTTCTATTCAGATTCGAAGATAAAGGCGAATTTATTAGAACCAATAAAAATGTTGTTATCATCGAAATATTTTCTTTCCGAATTATTTTGGAAGATTAAGAAAACAATTCCTTTTCGTGCAGACTAAGCAGAAAGAGGGCTGTAATACTTGGGGTGAGCATCGCTGTAGTTCTAACTGTGATACTAACGATAATAATCGTTTTACTCGTTACTGGTACAGAAAATAAGAATTCAGAATACACAGGCGGTACTTCGTATTTCGGAATATATACAAAGGTAAAGTATGATAAGAAGATAAACTTTTTGATTTGCTTACTTACTAAAGTGTCGCTCGATTTACATACTTTCGTTCGGAGAAAGGAACGTCAATTATTACATTTACCATCGCGATCGAAGCGACTCTTACGTTGATCTGAACTCATGTTTTCTGTTTGTAAGGGCGCGGTATCTACGAACGGACAAGAATGCGCTCAGATAGGTGCCGGTATGTTGATGAGAGGTGGTTCGGCTGTCGATGCGGCTATAGCATCCCTGTTGTGCGAGGGCGTTGCATCATTACATAGGTAAATTAAACTTGGATTATACATGTACGCATGATCTTTAGTCTTCGAACTCCCGTCTTATAACGTTGCATTCTTCGATGAATCGAAGCATGGGGCTGGGCGGTGGATTTTTAATGACCATTTGGGACTCTACTACCAAAACTGCCAATTATCTGGATGCGCGGGAAACTGCTCCATCTGACGCGCACGAGGATATGTTTCAAAGCAACCCTGATTTAGCGCTGTTCGGTAAGCTGTCTGATCTTTTTATTACATATCGTTGTTACTTGCAAACATAGTGTAGATATATTAATCTGATCGTGTAAACGAAAAAGGTGGATTAGCAATAGCTGTGCCGGGCGAACTACTCGGATATTGGGAAGCTCATCAAAAATACGGAAAACTGCCATGGCCCGATTTATTTCAGCCTACTATTTCTTTGTGCGCCACTGGATCTCTCGTAACTAAATACCTGGCCTCGTATTTGACGAGTAAAGAGCCGTTAATAAGAGCAGAAAAGTCTTTGGCGGAAATCCTCATAAATCCTATTACCAATTCAACATGGAAGGTGTCACATTTGTCACGCTTGTTTTTCTTTCATAGTCTCCGATTAAAACATTGGTCGTCATAAAATTTCGCTTCTTTTAGGTAAATGATAGAATAAAGAGGCCGCGTTTGGCAGAAACGTTAAAGTTGATCGCAAGTCATGGACCCCATATATTTTATAACGGAACTATAGCTGATAGCTTAGTTGAAGAAATCAAAACTTTCAAAGGTATCATTAAGAAGGAAGATCTGCAAAAGTACAGGTTTGTTTGGACCCTCGATGTACATGCTTAGTGGGGGAAAATTGGCAATGAATTTGTGAATGATATGCTTATTATAGAGTAAAATGGATGAAACCGATAAAATCAACGATCGGGAATTTAACGATGTATACCGCACCACCACCGGGTTCAGGTGCGATTCTAGCTTTTATTATGAATGTTCTTCACGGCATGGTTCCTCACCACGACAACAAAATTATGTGGCAAATTATAGTCGAAACGTTTAAATGGGCTTACGCTAAAAGAAGCGAATTGGCTGATCCTGAATTCGTCGATATCAGTGAGTTGGCAGTTTATATTATCTAATTTTCAGCCGCAATAATCATACGTAATGAAGAGCAATTGTATTTTATGATATACCATCAGAACTTTATTTTAAATCATTTTAGATAAGAAGATGCGATAAGCGTAAATTTGGAATCAAATGTCTCGGAATTAATAAACATACGATATTTGAAATGAGATATTTTCGTTGAAAAGTTTCAAATCTTATCATTAACATCCGAGAACATTCCTATGTTTCTTCTTTATTTTACATAAGCAATAATCCTTTCAGCTTCCGTGCTTGATAATCTGACATCCATCGACTATGCCAACAGTATTCGAAATAAAATTACAATTAATACAACGAACAATGATCCGAAATATTATGGTGCTGTTATGAGCACACCAGAGGATTCAGGGACATCTCACGTTTCTGTCTTAGCTCCAGACGGATCGGCTGTATCAGTCACATCCACGATAAATCAAGTGTATGTTGATTTTGTAAGCTCTCTACTTTTAAATGCAATTTTCAAAAGCACACCTACGCCTATGAATAGGATAAAAGACGTATCTTTTAATTCTCTATATCAATTCGGTAGCTTTGGCGCGATGAGACGATCAAGATCGACTGGGATAATTTTTAACGATGAAATGGACGATTTTAGTTCTCCAAACATAACTAATGGTTTCGACGTACCACCTTCGCCAGCGAATTTCATTAGGCCTGGAAAAAGACCTATGAGCTCTATGAGTCCAACCATCGTTGTAAGTGTACTTTATGAATTAAGAGCTAAATATCGAGTATTCCCATCTTATTGTTACTCTTTCTTGTTCGTAAAGGTAGACAATAGCGGAGAAGTTCGTCTAGTAATTGGTGCTGCAGGTGGAACTAAAATCACCTCTGCAGTTGCAATAGCAATGGTATTAAATCTTTGGTCAGGATATAACGTAAAACAAGCTGTCGATACGCTTAGAATTCATCATCAGGTAAAGTTCAACGTCAATTCGTCATTCGATATTGCGCATTTCCAACTATCAATAACGTTTTTTATGAAACTCCAGCTCTTACCAATGGTTGTTCAAAATGAAAAAGGATTTTCTCCGGACGTGTTAAATTATTTATCTAGCATTGGACACAATGTTTCAACTTACTCAGGAATTGGAAGTGCAATTACAGCTATATCCAAACAAAACGGAGAAATAATTGCTAGCTCAGACTTTCGCAGGGAAGGAAGAACTGCTGGCTTTTAAATGATTATTTGTGGTAGAATATTCATTGATGAATAAATGCGAGCACACACACACATACACGCACATGTGCCTACGCGCTTACAGTAAGTTAGAAATAAGGGATAACAGAAAAATGTTTCAGTATGATTATACAGAAATATCTTTACCAAGCTCTCCTTTTCTGTCATATAGTATCTCAAAAAGCATCGGTAAACTACATATAAAGCAAAAATGTTTAATATTTGTGACGAAACAAATGTTTAATTGACCTTTTTAAGATTCTCAACAGATATAAGCATCAGATATATGTTATATAAAAAATAACATAAATTTTATTAGATACTTGAAAATCACAAGCGTACATTTAATGACGCTAATTTTTACATATTTTTAAAGAACGTAACAGGCCCCGTATAAAATAATAATTTATTTTAAAAAATGTACATGTATCGTTCATTAATTTACATTAGTTACATTAATTTATATTAAATAATACTACGAACTACCACTATCACTTTCTGAGAGTTCAGCTTTTTCCTTTACTTTTCTTACACAACGTCTTATCTTTTTCGTCTTGTATAATCCTTGTTTCGACTTTCGAATTACTTCGATCGCGTGTAATTTTTTTTTTAAGGCATTTGCTTTATCACTTTCTCTTTGTGGTATGTATTCATCAACATTTTTCTCGTTACAAGCAGAAACGGTAAAAACTTTAGGTTTAGTATTATCAACCAAAGCTCGTTCATTTTTCAACTCTTCTCTTTTTTTTCGATTTTCAACCAAAGATCTCTTTTTCTTTATTGATTGTTGCGTGCTTTCTACACTTATGGAATCTTCCTTATTTTCATTGCTTAATTTTTGCACTGCCTTCTGAACTCGTTTACTTAAATTCATTTCAATTGATTTCGGAATAGTTTGTAATTTAAAATACGCATTTATTTTCTGTTGACTTTGTTTTTCTTGCAATCTCTTCAATACCGGTTCGATAATTTTATCATACTTATTTTTATCCCAACCAAATTTTTGTTTTACGTAATCGGCTAGAAGTATAATATTAGGTTTACCCCACGTGAAAGTCTCTTTTGATTCATCCACTTTAGGCGAAAGATACGCTTGTACAACAGCTTGACTCGGGAAACCTGTACGTAAAACAACAATGTATCATATGAACTGTGTATAACAATAAAGGATATCATATACTTGTACCTTTTTGAATTTGTAAATTCTGTAATTTGGTTCGCAAATTCGCTTTTCCAGGACCAGCGGTTTTACCATTTTCGATCCAAGAAGAAAAGTTTATTAAACCTTGCAATAAATCGTCGCCTTCTGAAGGGAATGCTGCTAATATTTCTAACGCAGTAACAGGTCCAATACCAGTTAAACCTGTTGTATAATCGCTACCAACCAAGAGAGCAAGCCGTATCATTTCGTTTCGCGTTAATTCTAAGAAGGAGATAAATATTTTATAATTTGTACACGGATGCGTTTCTTTTTGTATTGAAAGTACAATAGGCTTACTGAAATAGTGTTGTATATCACAGGATCGAAATTCAAGAACCTTTTTATTATTATCAAAAAAATTTTTGTAGACGCATTGTCCACCAAATAACCAAATATCTGAATCATCTGTAATCGTACCATCGATGAGATGAATTTGTTCCAAGTATGCGCATTGCGCCTCTGCTTCCATAGGTGCTATAATATATGGTATTCCGAATAATCGTAATAGTTCCTACAAATAAATAATTTCATTGATGTTATGTTAAATAAATAACAATGCTAAGAATTTACCAAATTTACATCGTGATACCTGTGCTTCGATTTGTATTTGGTCAGAAATATCGATACCTTGTCTTTCTAATTTACCAATATTTGCCATTAGTTCTGTTTGTTTGTCCTCTAATTGTGTCTGCAATTATACTAAAATATACTAAATATTCCTAAACTATTTCCGTGTATCCATTACCCGTATGTGTATATCTAATCTAATGTATGTACGTACTTGTAACGATAACAATTCCTCTTCGTTCATAGGTATAGGGCTTATTCTTTTTGTATAGTCAGTCAGCATGTTAACATTTGTATTGTCTTTGATATTTGCAGCTTCTACATTATCCTTTATAGAATTGGTTAAATTTTCGATGCTACCTTTCATTTGATTTTCTTCTAATGGTACATTTGTGTTTAAAGTATTCGGGTCGATATCGATAGTGGTCTGCGCATTAAGATTATCAATTTCTTTCAAATTAAGCAGTTGTTTATCTTTAATTTGATCTTTTTTTGAATCTACTGTTTCTTTGAGAGTGCGTTCGTTTCTTGATATTTCTTGATCATAATGAAATATTTCCGCCGATTGTGTAGGATGTATATCTGTATTGATCTCGCTATTGTGTGTTTCAAATACGTCGGCAAACATATCATCCACTACTTTTTCATCAGATCTAAATGTTATTTGGATATCTTGTGGAATATATTTATTAGTAGTAGTACCTATATCTGGTATCGGTATATCTTCTATTTCTATGAAATCGTCCGAGTCTGACATTGAGTCTATTGAATTAACTGTTACTACATTTTCTGATTCAACTTGCGCTTTATCTGAAATGTTTGCCATTCTAGTAGGAGAGATATTAATGTTTGTCTCAGTATTTGATTCAGCTAATTCCGGCTTCGATACATCGATTGATTTTATAGTATTTGTGTAATTATGTTTCGTATCTTCTTTGCCGTCCTCAGATATTGAAGAATGCTTCGTATTTAATGAATTATTTTTACTTTCACAAGGCTGTATTGTTTTAAATGAATCGATTTGTTGTGATATTCTTGACATATTTTCGACATCTCTGTAAGTTTCTCTGTTATTTTGCTCAAGAAGGGTAAGGATCTGTTTTTCCGTTAATCCACTATATTCTAACATATACGTTAATGCAGGATTCGTAATGTTTTGTTTGAAATATTCTTTTGGTAATACTCGCGACTCATTGGATTCTACTTCCGATTCTATATCGCTATCTGTTTCCCACCTAAATTTAAAATTATTCATATCTGTTATATCAGTGTCACTGTCACAATCATCATCAAGTTCATATTCATTTATATCATCACAGATTTTTGTATCTTTACTGGGTCCAGCAGTGGCTTCATCCATTCTATTTTCGTGCTGTATGCTCTCGCTATCTGAATTAACATCATCGTTGTCTTTTAGATACGCATTTTTATCTACAATATAAAGCATAAAGAATTAAGAAACGATCAGTTTCGGCTTGTATAGCAGAAAGCTATTACGTACCACTAATATATATTAATCTAGTTGTATTGTCCGCAGCGATACGATAAGTATAATTTTGAACGTTCGTCGGTATTCCTTGTTCTTTTAATAATTTATCTAGCTCGTCCAACGTAAGCGTTTTTCCACCCATTTCTTTCTCTGCAGATTCTAAACTTTGTTGTACTAATCGACGTTTTAATAAACGTTTCATTTGGAAACCAGAAAATTCATTTGATTCCTAAATAAAAACATGTTTCAGATAAACGACAAAATTAAATATTTATACATATAATCCTCAAAATGAGCATGTACTTCAGGCATTTCATGCAAACGGCCCCATGAACTTTGTTTTCTTGTTTCTTTGAGATCTGTTAGAATTTCATAACGCACATCAGCTGGTAAAGTTTTAAATTCGGCGCTAGTTACATCTACGCTATGAATATTGCCACTCCATTTTGTTTGCTTTTTTGGACTTGGTTCATCAGATGAATCAGAATTACAATCATCACTATGACTTGATTCTGCTTTACTAGTGCTTGGCATATTTGGCAATTTGTACATATCATTCACAGTTTGCTTATTTTGCAAATTTATAACTACTTCAGAAGAGCCATTCGTAGTAACTTGTTTCTCTGTATTAAGAACTGCCTTTATTGTAGAGTGCTTTATCAAATTATTTATTAATTCTGTCCTCATCTGTTGGGCTTTATTCTTGGCCATAGATTTCTGTTTCCTGCGCAAAGCCTGTGAACACAAAAGAATAAGAACCTCTTTTCTCACTACCTGGTTCCCACAGCAAACTAATTATGTACAGACAATATTATAATCAAGATAAAAGTACAGTTTCATTAAACATGCATGCAACGTACCTAATATTAGGACGTATAATAGTTTAGACAATTAGAAAGTTAAACGAAACCAGCTAAATTATATTATATAAAGATCTATAGTTGATATTTTAGTTATAAAGTACACATTCTTAAAGTTTATACTTTAAAAAATGAAAGTGTAATAAAAAATATATTTACAATTGTGTTCTTCTTAAGCATTGGCACACCTCCATCAAAAACGAAAACTGGTTTAATTTTATAATACAATAGTTTGCATATTCTATGAAATAAGCCAATAAGATGAGCATTAGGTTTAGGATTACCAAAGCGGTCCTGATACCCTTGTAGCACTTGATGTATCCAGATTGATATATCTAAAAAATCACAAAATTTTATTGTTTATATGAAGATAATTGATTTGCAAATAAATTTATGTGCAATTATTAACGTAATAAATGTAAAAATACAAATTTTTAGGATGTACCAATAGCTAAGATCTTTCCTTCTAATGTTTCCAGGGGTACTTGTTTTCCTGTTGCATCAAGTAAACGCCAAAGACCATAAACACCCATTATTACAACTTAACAAGTCTCTAAAAAGTAATACATTTAATGACTTTAATAGACACCTTTTACTACAGGTATACATAGTATATTTTACAATTTACCATGCAAAATTGTATGTATATCGAAAGATATAATAAGAGCATAAGGACCAAATATATTTTTAACAATTTATAACCTAAACTCTAAATACGTTATGAAAATATAAGAAGATAAAAAATAACATGAAAATATTTATTATTTGTAAAAAATAAATTTACGTGCGTATATTTTACATACACACGTACATACGTGTATTTATATTAATGTTAAAACATTAAATCATATATTTTTAATATGATATTAGTATCTTGACGCGCAAAACTTATTCTTACAGACATCGCACTGGTGTCAGCTGATTACAAAAACAATGTGCTTATATATACTTACACATTAGACGCACATTTAGATCGTATGGTGTAATATGTTTAAAAAAAATAAGCAGAGATTGTCAGAATTGTATATTTTAATCATATTATTATCGTGAGAAAATTGGTAATTCACCAGATTTTCTGAATAGCATTAATGGTATTTTATTTTCATCGCATTATTATGTATTTACCAACTCCTTACATTCATGCTTTAAAGATAAGAGATGTAATCTTGCCGAATTATTTGTTCATATATTAAAATTATGAAATTTGCTAATACAAGTTTTATGCATAAAATAAAAAATATTATATTAATATAAACATATTATAGTTTTGAAATATGTGAGTTTAATAACAAAATAAAGTTTGTCATTGAAGGAAATGGCAAAATTTCCGAAAAATGTTTATGTATACACAGAAAATAAGTGTCATATTTGTGACACGCAAAAACTAATCTCGTGTAACATACGTTTTCATCGATAACGTTCGCCGGTCTAAAATTCATGTAAATTTTTTAGCCGTCCAAGAACTCGACTTTCGATGGAATAAAAGGTGAGCTTATATAGAACGTTAATTTGTCTATCCACGCGCACTCGTCCTATATTACGCAGTACCAGGCTATTGGCCGTTCGTGTGATTCGAATACAAGTACTCGTAACGTAATATGTGAAATACAGTAGTGTGTAACTCGTCTAGTCCATGGGTATATACACACTTGCAGACACGATGTATATATCGTATCGTCATCATGAGAGAAGTGAAGTGAGGTAGAGGCCACCCACTCTTTCCCACAGCAGGTTTTTCCCACGCCCCCCAGGGTAACCCCAACATCCTTTTGCGGCAGCAATTCCACGGTATCTATGGAGTAGAGGGGAGCAGCTCACGTCAGGTGGGGAACAAGAGGGGAAACTGGAGGCGCTTGGGTCGACCAGGCCATTGTACAACAGTAAAACAATAGAATCAGCAGCTCAGTAACGTAACTATTCAAACCCCTAAAAATTCTTACGCTTTCATACCGATTTTATAAGTATTAACGTGTGTGACCGTTATCAATATTTCTTACACAACTTAAAAATTATATAATACTTCCTATTCGAAGATATAACGTATAATTTTATAAAATATTTTGGTAAATTGTAATAGAACGGTATATCTAATTGTATCTTTTTCTTTCGTTATTCGGTACTTCTTTGAAAATTTCCATCTTAAAGATTTTCGGTTTATACTCGGCATTAGACGATAAAAGAAGAAGGAAATGATTGAAATATTTATACGAATGGCAGTGATCGGTTTTATATCGAGAGGTTCATGGATCCCTCTATAAATACGTACCTGTTAGAGCCACTTACGCGGGTAGTAATAACTCTACGTTGTCGTTTCGAACTTAGTTACTCGGCGAACACCGTCCGGGTAGGTTGTATATTTTCTAGTAGAATTGTCGAGATATGTGTTTATCAGTCGCTACTAGCCTGAAAGTGACAAGACTGCAGAAAACCTAACTATAAGAAGGAAACCACAGAACGTATTCAAACAGTGTTTCGAAACAGTATGTTTGTATTTTGGATTTAAAGTGGCGCGCGCGCGGCTAAATCATTTCTAAGGGTTGGTAAGACTGTTCGGAAAATTCGGAAAGTGAACAGGTGTTTTTTGAATGGATTAGGGAGAATAGGTGACGAGGACGCAAAAGGATTTGCGAATGTTGAAGAATCAAGGAACAGTGTGACATTTGTGAATAACCGATCATTTTAAAAAATGCACTGGGATTTATGTTTCCATTGAACATATTACGAAAAATGAGGTGAGCCCCCAAAACGTAACCTGTTTTTGTTCGGTGTAATCTTTGCATCAAGAAGGTAAATAGAAGATATTTTTAGTAGTTTAATAATTCTTTATTAAAACAATTGTACAAGCTTGTTACTTTCAACATTTATCAATCTATCTATGAAATTAAAACAATCTACAGTGTTCAATTTCTATTATTATGGAATGTAAATTCTTCATATTCAGAAAGTATCTTTTAGCAAGAATATCTTTTTCTTCTTATAACGTAATATATAATTTTATATCTATAAACGTTACAACACGCATAAAGTTTAGATCAGTTTGTTATTTATGTGCTAATATAAGTTCTGTTATTACAATGTACCGCAATACATAAAGTTTAGTTCGTTGATTTCACACAGAAGAATGTGTTTGTAATTCTATTCATGATGCATTTAATTAAGAGTTGTGAGTATATGTAGCTTGTGTCAGACAATTGGTATCACAAATTTTATTAGGAAATACAAGCTTTTTGCTTTTCCTAGAATATTATTTTGTTGGTTCTTTGTAAAACGCATAGTAACATGTAACACGGATGAGCAATATCATACTTTGTAACCAATACTGTGTTTGAAAATTAAGAAGATTTAGAGAAGTTACCTTAGCATATGTAAAATTAATCAGAGAACATCTTTATACTTACAAGTACATGGATATGATTGTATAGACACGACGAACAAGGGTGATTTAATTCATGCAGGAAAAATGAGCTCAGCTTGGTTCCCACAGTATATATGTACATTTCCTCTTTCCTGTACTAAGACTAGCAATTCTTAGGAGCTCGTTTAAAGAAAGATACCTTACGTTAATTATATCTTGCATCGAGAAAAACAAAAATCTTTCCCACACTTTAGTTTTACACGAATAGAATCCTATGCATCTATGTCTATTCAAAGATATATAGTTATAAAGACAACTGTTTTTTACAATTAGGGTAATACGTATAGATTTGGATGTCTGCAATAACAAATTATGATCCTATTTATGTATATTTATTTCAATTTGATTTAATGATATACTTGTGTCTCTCTAATATCTACTTGACAAGAGAATATTTGAAAAAATAAGAACGATATTGAGTGTGAAAAACAATATTGGTTATAATTGGCCATGATGAAATGTATTTCAGGTAAAGAGGCAGTGGCAATTATGACATGCATAGATGACAAGGATAGTCTGCAAGCAACCTAACAACTCTGTTGTATAGTCGAGAGAATCGAAGCGAAGATTAAATATGCCACACCAGTTTGGTTTGCCGACGATGGCACATGGAATGCAATCTCCTCCTTCACCGACTTCGGTCATGTCGGTTTACCCCCGATTTGGATCCGGTGTCTATAGACCGGATCATCAAGATCAAAGGTTGACACGCGAAGCAATGGAACGTTATTTGCGCGATAGAAGCGACATGGTTATCGTAATTCTTCATGCAAAGGTTGCGCAAAAGTCGTACGGCAACGAAAAAAGATTCTTCTGTCCTCCACCGTGTATTTATTTGTTCGGTGATGGGTGGAGAATGCGGCAAGAGCAGATGCTTCGCGAAGGAGAGAGCGAGCAGTCTGCTCAGCTTTGCGCATTTATCGGGATCGGGAATTCCGATCAAGACATGCAACAACTAGATTTGAACAATGGTAAACAGTATTGCGCGGCAAAGACACTTTATATTTCGGATTCGGATAAGAGGAAGCACTTTATGCTCTCGGTGAAAATGTTTTACGGTAGCGGACACGATATCGGTGTGTTTCATAGTAAAAGAATCAAAGTGATCTCGAAGCCGTCGAAGAAGAAACAATCGTTGAAAAACGCCGACTTGTGTATAGCGAGCGGAACAAAAGTTGCGCTGTTTAATCGGTTACGATCTCAAACGGTTAGCACGCGTTATCTTCACGTGGAAAACGGAAATTTTCATGCCAGTTCGACGCAGTGGGGTGCGTTCACCATACACCTGTTGGACGATAATGAGAGCGAATCGGAAGAGTTTCAGGTTCGAGACGGCTACGTACATTACGGCAGTACAGTGAAATTGGTATGTTCGGTAACAGGAATGGCTCTTCCACGTTTAGTAATTCGGAAAGTGGACAAGCAAATGGCCAGTCTAGAGGCGGACGATCCAGTTTCGCAACTGCATAAATGCGCTTTCTATATGAAAGACACGGACCACATGTACCTCTGTTTATCTCAAGAACGTATTATCCAATTTCAAGCTACTCCTTGTCCAAAGGAGGCAAATAAAGAAATGATAAACGACGGTGCCTGTTGGACGATAATCAGCACCGATAAGGCAGAGTATCAATTCTTCGAAGGCATGGGCCCGGTTAGATCGCCGGTAACACCGGTACCGTTGGTCCATAGCTTGCATTTGAACGGTGGCGGGGACGTGGCAATGCTCGAATTGACGGGAGATAATTTTACGCCTAATCTTCAGGTATGGTTCGGCGACGTGGAAGCGGAAACTATGTATAGATGTCAGGAAAGTATGCTTTGCGTGGTACCAGATATATCACAATTTAGGGGTGAATGGCTGTGGGTGCGTCAACCGACTCAGGTGCCTGTCTCGTTGGTTCGCAACGATGGTATCATTTACGCGACCGGTCTGACGTTTACCTACACTCCAGAACCTGGTCCTCGGCCTCACTGTCCGCCAGCGGACGAAATTATGAGAGCACCACGCGGCATGCACAATCAACCGAACATGCCACCGGCGATCGCGGACGTACCTTGGAACACCCATCAACCCCCTCAATCGGGTCTCTGATGTTTCCTAGACAATTACAGTGCGCATCACCAAAGTTTACGAGTCAGTGAGACGAACGCTGTTGTTTCCGTTCATTCTTCGAACGATATTCCAGTTGTTTCTATCGATAACAACGAGCCAATCGGCGACGATGTTAACTCAGTGACTACCTACGCAGCGAAAGACCTATTGCTCCGAGTCGACAGTGCGGCAACAAGTTTAGACAATACAAAAAGCAGCACGTAGCAACCATTTCGTTGCATTGCGTTGCGTTGTGTCGCATTACGTTGCGTTTTATTGCGTTACGACGCTACGTTGAATATGTACAGTGTACGGTACCGAGAATCGTTTCCCTATGTTCATAAATACGTAGGTACCTAGCTTTAAGTGTTGATACAGAATTACACACAGGGATTAGAATTTATAGCGACCATAGAATTAAGAGCTTTTTACGAATGTGAATATATTTAGCTATTACTTGGTAAAAGGAATATGATGGGGAGGGGAGAACAAACTCGAAAATTTGTTCGCTCATTAAACGACGAAACAAACGACACGCTATTAAATCTCTCCGTTGTATTAGATTAGCCATCGAGACTTAACGGCGTAGACCGTACAATTGCATATCGATCACTGGAAGTGGTTGTACATTTCTCATCGATTACTGCAGATTCGTTCTTCGAATGATCAGATATTGTTATCGAAGGAATCTAATATATTTGGTTTAAAATTGACCGAATTTCTATCGCAATTATCGCAATACACATTCTATGTAAAAACGTAGTTTTCAGAATGCTCTTGCTGATACTTTTTACATTTATAAAAATGTAGCATCAAATAATTTTTAAAGGCATTCATTTTTATTTATCGAGAAATACGAATGACTTGCGAATATCGGCCAAGATACCAGCTACGTATGCGATGCATATATTCGAACGACTAATTCATCTTTTACAAACCAATTGAAAATTTCTATCCATCCAGTTTCTTTCTTTTATATCATGAATATTTCAAATGTATTTGATTTACTGTTTTACATAGTATATGCATTAATGCGAAATTGAACATTATAATCGTATTTTTCTCGTGATACGTAATGTACGTAACGTACATTTCAGATGGACTACACGTTAATTTTGTGAAACTTGATGCGCAACTTAGAAATTATCCTAGATTTAATCCAATTGGAGAAAATCGTTAGTATCTTGCCGAAATTGCAATTTGCTATTTCGATTGATTTCGTGCGCTAACCGACTATCGCTGTTTTATTTTACCGACGATTATTTATTTTCATAATTGTTATATAATTTCGTCAATGAAACCTTTGATTGCTTTTTTAACGTAGACGTAAAATATTGTGCACGCTCCCTATTAATCTCACTGATTATCGATATCTCGATTTTTCTAACGGAATTCTTGATATCATCCACAGAGAAGACAATATGCTTATTCGCGCGAAAATACGATATGTAACGGTGCATTTTAAATGGATGACGCAAAAGAAAAATCTAAATATATACGTTTTTATGTCTCTCTATGTTTTACAATAAATTGGTCAGATTTATATAATAAAGTCTTTACTTCATGACCTACACGTTATTTCCAAATCCCAAGATTCGATAATAGAGACAACTGTACGTACATGACCGTTGCTGCACGAAGCTCAGGTGTACCTTGAAGAAGTAATTGCATTTGCAAAGAATGGGCCAATCGTTTTACATTTCACCGAAATTGTTCGAAATATCGATACGATATTATTGTATGCGAAACGCGATAATATGTTTTGGGCCAAAGCAACGAAATTCGTTGATACGAAAACTAAAAATTATTAGCTAGAAACAATTCGTTTTTTGACTCCTCGACTTGGTCGAAGCGATACAGGCTCTTTTCTAGATACCATCGAATATAATTATCTGCAACAGGAAGCGAGATAAAATCGCTTTGAGAATTGTCTTCCTGAAGAGATCCATTGTAAAAGAGGAATGTCGGTATACATGTATACCATGGGAATTTACCCACGATTAAAATTTACACCAAGTACCTGAAGAATACGATTATCTTTATTCACAGTAATAAATTGCGAGTTAATAATAATTACATCCTTATACGTATCAGTGGACGGATAATCATTGAGTAATCATTACAATTCATTACATTGGAAAACTATTTTAAGTTACGTTCAAGCGTTACATTAAATTAAGTTGCCAATTTTTCAATAACTTTTCGCAGACGTGGAACTGTTTTGGATCATATGCCAATTTGTCAAACTACGTTTGAACCTGAAGTTCTTTCATTGTATTTCTCTCTCACATACACACGCACACTTTCTTTCTCTCACTTACGAATTAAAACAATATTTTACAAAACTATATGAGAATCTTATTTGTAAATAAATCATATACAATCTTTTAAACTAATTACTTGTGTACACGTGCACTATGATTCCCTTTACGCTCTCAGTCGTTGCAACAATTGAACGACAATGGATATAAGAATATAGAGTATATATATATATATACATATACACGTACATATGTATGTGTAATATATATATATATTGGATATGTATATAATAAAAAATGTATAAAGAGAACACATGTATGAAACATTTGTTATTGTATGATGTTTGCTATTGTGCTTATCAATATTCTTTGTGTAAAAAATTGTATTTTTCGCGAGTGTCTATAGTTACAGAAATCATTGTTATATCGAAAAGGATTGCTATTTAAATAAATCTTCTATAAACAACACAGACCGGATCCGTGTCGATCGTTTTTAATCACAATCGTTAAATTACCTGGTATTTCTTCTTTTTTTATATTTCACTTTACCGACTCTCTCATTTCGCGTATGCTTAATTTTACGAATAGCGACCACAAAGCGACATGGTCGAGTAGGATCGCTTTTACTTTATCCGTATCGTGCGTTGTTTATTCATATTTGTGAGCATTAACGAAATATATGAAGTTAATAGATCATCCATTTTGTATCCGAGTGAAGTTTCGCACAATAGTTTCGAACCTCTGACTAAATTTCCAATCGTCATATGAAAATAGGTATTACCCGACGACCAATTTGAGATTCTTGTAAATGGATGCGTTACTAGTATATCCTACGAATACAAACGTTCACAGGTAACATTTTTAGGTGTAATTTCTAAACAATTATAGATAAGACAAATGTGTTCACTTACTTTCGTTTGTGGATGTATAAGACTCACACCGTGCTTATTTATAGCGATTAACAATAATTCTGGATAATTTGGTTCTGTGCTTTGTTTGACTTCGAAAAAGGCTGAACCAAAGGTTGGCCATCGATAAACTATTTTCAAAAACGTTATTTTGGCATCTTCTGGACTCATACCTACGGAGGAATTTATTTATCTATTTACTTTGCAATTGCGTGTAACATATAGAGAAAAAGTAAATAAGTATTGACTGTGCGCTCAAACACGATTGAAACAATATCTTACCAGCATCCTGATTGTATGCTGCTATTATCGATCTCTTCCAATCGTTAGAACTTTGTACCTTTACTAAATCTCCAGGTATAAGTTCTCTTAACATTTGCCTAGGGAAAATCTTACGTTACTACATTGTTCTTCTAAATATAAGCTAGTACGTAACTACGTGCTACAACAGATTATAACGTGTATTCCACTTACGGAATAGCTTGAAGTTCCTGCTTGCTTTCACCAAAACGAACTCTGTACACTAGTGCTGCTAATCTGGATGCTTCTTCCTTGGTACATTTATGGTAACCTATAAGGAGAGATACATACGTAAATAGTGTAATCGTGTAAAATGATCAAGCCGGATTAATAATCTACGATACGACAAAATGCTTTAAAAGTGTTGGAACGCAACTTTTACCTCTTAATAATTTAGGAAGCTCCTGGTGAAAGTGGAAAATGAGGTCTGCGTTCCTGTCTTTACCGGGAACGGTGTTGGTCCACAGTTTCTTCATGAAAAATACTTGATACGTAAATTGAGGTGATACACCTAAGCAAAATATATGAAAATCTTATTACGTTTCTTTGTGTTGCATTTATGATTGGCAAAAAATTATAACGAATGTGGTACCATCGCGAGAGGGTCGAGCTTTTCTTATCCAATCCGTCAAATGTCGTACAAAGTCGAAGAAGAAATCCCCTTCTGGAACCGAGATGACTTTATCGGCAATCTTCACAAACAGACTGAATCCTTCTGCAGAACGTAAGTTCAGTCTTTGCGCTATATTTTGACAAAAATCTTTAGCTCTCGTTGACGAATCCACTTCGAACGCCTGTATATAGAAATAAATTGGAGAATGATCGCCGTAAGTTTGATAACTGTTCTTGAAACGAATAAAATTGAGATAAAATAGTCACTTAAAGCATACGCACTTCGTCCGTGTCGTCAGGAAAGTAAACTTTGTGAAATATTTGCGTCGTTTTGTGCTGTATAGCCTCTACTTCCACTTGGTGTGGAGGATACTTTCGTTGACCGTTACGTAAGGTTTTTTGTAGCCTTTGTAAAGAATCCTGAGATATGGGATGCCGTCTCGTGCGTAAAAACAGAGTCAATTCCTGGCAAAGAACAGAAATATATGTAAATTGAACGAATACATTCACGAATATATTACGTAGATGCGATATTTTACTTTTAAGAGACTTTGGCTGCAAGTGAAGAGACCGGTGGCAAGCCACATCAATTCCCAACCACGTTCTTCGCTCAGTCTATTTCGATTATCGGTTAGTTGTTTCATGATTTGACAATAAATTTCGTCTCGAAGAATTTCGTTTTTCAATGGTCCGTCAAAAATAAGATCCGTGTACTCGTTGCCGATACGCGGTCTCTTCGTTGGCAAATCACCCATGTATTTCAAAATCGCGTTAAAAGCGAAACACGCTTCCTCGGCTAATTCCTCTTTCGATATCAACTTCTTTAAGAGAGGTTGTTTAATAGGATCTCTGGAGTGATGCCACAGTTCGTCGGTGTGTCCGCGTCGCGCTGTTGTTAGGGTCAACGCCTTTGACATAGTCCTCTTTGGCGGTGTTCTGTAACGAGCGTGAAACATCTCTCTATTATAATTCATAACGTGAAAGATTCGTTGCGTATTTACGGACAAGCGTCATTTACCGGAAGTGATCAATAGCGTATTCTAAAAGAGTATGAGGTTTGTCACGGGATTCTACTCCATTTACTTGCTGTGGATATAATTTGCGGCCATTTTCCGTTCCTTCGATGCTGAATAGGGACTAAAAGAGGGATCGATTAACGAGATTCGTTCAATTCGTATAAAAGAAAGAATAGATAAAGAGAAAAACAAAGAGGTCGCGCGGAAAAGACACGCGTTAGCCTTACTAAAATATCGTTTGGTGGTTTCGTTAGCGAGGGCAAAACGTATACTGTCTCGGCTGGAAAATCGCCTTTTTCTCCGGTTCTTTCGCAAGTGCCGATGCACCATCCCGAATTAAGTACAGTTTCACCGGTACTCTCGTCCTCCAGAATAATAAGATCCCCCTTTTGAAAGGTCAAGAACGACGAACCTTCGCCTGGTGCTTTGTAATCTTGCAAAGCGATAACATATTTGCTACGTTTCTTCAAACCTTCTAAAAAGTATACCACCAGATCGCGAATGTCTTCGGCGTTAGGGCTTTGAAAAGTGAATTCCTCTCCTCGCACCGTTGACAAGTTGAACGTTTGCGTGAACATTTTATTCGTTCTGAAAGTTACGATAGAATCGAGAGATAAAATAAGAGTGGAAAAGAGACGATCGTAAAGGGTACGTACTTTTGACTAGACACGGTGGTGATTTCGGGGAACGACAATTCCAGAAGTACTTGTTCTTGATCGTCTACGACGTACACTCCGGTCCAATTCACGGCTATGATAACGTCGTTCTTCGGTAAATTCGGCCCGGAATTTCTGTACGCTTCGTAGAAGCGAGAAAAGAGTAATGGCCACTTGAACTTTGCATAACCGACGATATCCTCCTTAACCCGCAAAGCAGGTACCTTTTCCTTTAAATAATAACTCTGCAAGAAGAAAAATCATTTCGTCATTGTCGTCGATAGAAGAAACGCATACGGCGAAGTGAAAATAAGTTTCGATCAATTATCGTAATGTAAGTAAGGTCACCTTTTTATATGCCTGTAGAACCAGATGTCCCCATCTGTCGATCGCTTTGTCGATACCGGTCAGGCAATAGTCCGGTATGTAATTTGGCAAAAGAGTGTAAAGTCTGTCGACGTTCATGTCGGTGTGATATTCGATGTAATATTGTTGGGCGGCGATCATCGCTAAATCTTCTTCTTTATCGCAACGATATTCGCCGAATTTTACTCCCCTAACCACCTGTTGATAAATTAAATTGGTAGCGACTTGATCTTCGGTCGGTTCGTGCCAAGGTGCGAATATCTCCTTTCTGAAGAACAACCTCCACGGAGCATTCCGTTCTTGAGCACCTTGTTCCTTGGCGTATTGCTCACACTGCGAGATGGCATCCATCACGTGGTCACCGCCGCTGCCGAGCGACGAGACTTTATCAAACAACGCGATATAAAGAGAAAATCCGAACTGGTCGCGCAACGATATCTTATCGGAGAGCTGATTGCACAGTTCTCTGGCGGTGGTGGCGGAATCAGCGAGCAGCGTTTTAGTGTTACCGTCCATAAACGTGATCGGCAACATAATTGGTTTCTTGGATTTGGTCGCTTGAAGCTCCAACCAGCTTGGCGGTTGGTTTCGCGTACCGTTGTTGAACGTTCTCTTGAGCCGATCCTCGCAGTACGGCGCATATCCGGGTGGTCCCTCCCTGATGAATGCTCGCAAGTAATTGACGAATTTTTCGGACGGAGCGAAACATCCGACGCAGAGCGATAGTAAGATCCAACCGCGAGCGTGCGACGACTTGGATGGGTTGTTGGTCAGTTGTTTGCATATTTGACAGTATATCTCGTCTCTTAATTCCGCACGCAATATTCCATGGCCGATAATGAAATGAAGCTTCTCGAGGTTTGAGGTAGGTCTCGCTTCCAGCCAGGACTGATAACTATCCGCCGTGTATTCGTCCTCTTGTAGTTTCCGTCTGACATCCTCGCCCAATTTGTTTTTTCGTTTCAGCGTTAACGAGACCAACTTGTGTCTTATCGATCGTGGTTTTTGTCTGAGAAACGTTTCCGGATCGACGCCCATCATTTGCGCCTCTTGGAACTCTTTGCTTCGTATAAAATTACGACCAAGAGTCGCTGTGACTTTCGACATGACCGAGGTCGTATCTCTGTCCATCGTGTGAAATCTAGGCTCGGGTAAGTCTCCGGTAAAACGAAGTATCGTGATCCACAGTGCTTGGGCAGCCAGCTGATCTCCTTGCGTGTGCAAAGGCAACAACGGGTGTTTCAAAGGCTTCCTCGAATACTGATGCGTAATATTCCCTTGAAAGTAAGTTGCCGCGAATTTTTGAAACTTGAATTCCGATAGATCTTCCTCGTCCTCCGATGCTGTTTGAACGGGGCTAATGATCTCCTGTTGGTCTGCCTTTGGCGCAGGTAGATCATTGAACACAGAGGTTTCCCTAGCTGGTGTTGGAGCCTCGCTGCTCGAATCCGGTAGAAAATCAAACATCGCCTCGACCAATTTACTATCGTCGACCGGTTCGTCTTGTTTTTTGGCTGCATCGTTTATTAGATTCTTCTTAATCTCCATTCTGCGCCGGTCTTCCAGTTCCATCTCTATCTCTTTTCTTTCCAATTCTTGCATTCGTTCTCTGTAGTTCTGCTCGGCAATTTCTTTCGCCCGTTTATTCCCTTGGTCCTTCAACTCCCGCTCTTCTTTCTTTCGAAGCCTCAACGCTTCGACGTGCAATCGATACTCATACTTGATCTTCTTGTAGCGTCTTTGCGCGATCAATCTTCGAACGTGAGCTTGTATCTTCACGATCGCCCACAATTTCTTTTGGTACATTTTCCGTACCAGGTAGCCTCTGGCACGGGCTTGAAGAGCGACTATGTGTCCCCTGAGATGCCTGAATCTGTGCGATAACACTCGCGATCTGATCAGCGCTTGAAGTCGCATGTAACCGATACGCATACGTTTGTATCGTTGTCGTTGCGCGTAGCCCCTCCAGTATTTTTCGACGACAGTCGCGGCTGCTCTCATGCGAAGGAATCTTCTTCTGTAAACCCAGCCACGTATGTTGCGTTGTAGGATCAGAATCTTCCGCGTTAAAACGCGATCGCGTTCCTGCTCCAAGAACAAGTCGTGCGCGTCTTTGAGAAACACTTTTGTATGCCCGAGTTGATAATCCGATCTTCCCAATACTATGTGACAGATTTTGGATGTAACCGCGTGGCAGTCGACCTTATGCGCCGGAGGTATACCCGGAATGAGAAACCGATATCTCTCCACGAACTCCGGGAAGGAATGTCTGATCGGATAACCAGCTCTACGAATTCGAATCGTTTCCATCATGCCGGAGTATCTCAATTGTCGACAACAAAGTCCTCTGTCGAACATCATCGGTTTCTTATACTCGTTTGGTTTGATACATCTGATGAAGAAAGGTTGGCAACTGCACAATGTTTTCATCAGAGAGTCCAAGGATTTCTTGAACTGAGTGGACAGAGTAGGTGCTCGTTTCCTAGTCTCTGATCCCATACCGATGTCCTCGGCGAAACAGGCCTGCAAAAATTTATTCGACGATATGTGAATCAGCTGCAATAAATCGGCGCTAAACGTGTCCCTGTTCTTCTCGAGGAAGCTTCTGGTATCGTAGAACACGACACCGGCGAAGTGATTAAGGCCGAACGACGTATTGATGTCTGATTTTGGTTTTAAATAATTCCGATGACTGCCGTGCGTTTTGTGTATCTTAGCCAACATGGTCTGGTCCGTACCCTTCGGAAACTTTGATTCTTCGTCTATCAAGGCCATGATGTTCAACTGCTTGATAGCTATCAAATCGAGCGCATCCTGATTGTCGACGAACTCGATATGCTGCCAGTTGATACCTTCGTGATTGTATTCTTCTTGTTCCAGCTTAAAGATATGTTGCACGAAAAATTGTTGCAGATTTTCATTGGCATAGTTGATGCAGAACTGCTCGAAGCTATTGTGACTGAAATTTTCAAAGCCGAATATATCCAATACACCTATGGCGCTTCTGGACATGTTCTTCGGCCTATAGATCGCTTCGTTTATCTTTTTCACGATATGCACGAACAATCGTCCGTATATTCCCTTGACGAACGCGTCTCTGATATCCACCGATTGGTCCCTGGACAACGTAGACACCTGCGTGCACACGTTACAATTCGGCTCAACAAGAGGAAAGTATTTTCTACTGTAATTGTCGCAGTGTGACACTTCGTATTTATCGTCCCGTCTGTATAGGAACGTAACGCGAATTATTCCTTACTTACAACAGTCTCACCGTGAGCGAATATCGTTTTTCGAGTTAGAGCGTCTATCAAAGATTGGACGGGTACGCCCAGTAAGTGCGCTACCCTCTGCACATTTGTCTGTTCCGGAATTTCAGTAGCGTCCAAATTATCTAGAAAGTAGATTTAAATTAGGAGGACAAGCGAAACGCTTTAACGTTATACGAATTACGCTGCTTACCTACGACGGTGGCTCTGTATTTGACGTTTCCCATGTGCAATAGGGCAGCCAACAGCTTAAGTATCTCCCATATTTCCATGTCGGAAAACAACAAAACTTTCATGGCTGATCTAATGTCGGCAAACTCCGCGGCATCGTCCCGCCCCTCGCACGTGATGCTACCACCCTGAGAAGAAAAATCTTCGATTCTAGATTTCCAATATTCCATACTATAACGCATGAACGAAATCGAAACATTACCCCCGTTAGATACTTGTACGAAGAGGCATCTTCCAGTTCCAGTTTCGACTTCTCTTCTTTCGAAAGACCAGCCAGCATACAATAGAATACATGATAATTTCTCTCGTCCAGACTTTGCGAGACTATTCGCGATTTCTCCAAAAGATATTGCTCGATTTTTGCACCTTCTATCACCCCTTGCTCGTTGAAATGAATGTCGATGTACTTTCCAAAGCGAGACGAATTGTCGTTTCGTACCGTTTTCGCATTGCCGAACGCTATGAACGCGAAACCATAGATAAGGTGAATAACTTCTGTGTCTTTGTCTATCGCGACGCGACGATCGAGAGAGCCGTTTACCTTCCAAGATGGGATTCGCCTCCAAAATTTGCTGTTCGATCCAAGAATGCTTGCCACTAATCGCTGCCAAATATTGCAAAATTAGTTTTGTACTTTCCGTTTTGCCGGCTCCGCTTTCCCCGCTAAGACACAAACATTCGTGCATTTGACAAATCATGTCTAAATAGAAAAATATAGAAGAAGAGGAGAGAGCCGCTCGAAATATTTCACGGAAGAAGAAATAAAGCGATGGTTGATACCTGATCACTATGCACTGATCTTGACCGTATCGATTCATATGCGCGTAACTATTGTCTCCGATGGCAAATATGTGTGGCGGCAGCTCTCCGATTTTACGATCCTTGTACAGTTTGATTTGTTCAGCGGTATAAATCGGTAATATTTGATACGGATTCACGGCGACTAGAATGGAACCCGTATAGGTCTGCGCAAAAACGATAGCTTAAATGAAATTACGGCCACTTTAGGTCGTAAAACCAGGTGTACGTAAAAGCGATAGACCTTCGAGAGACTATCGCCTACCAAGACTCGTTTACGTACATATATGAGATTCTCGTTGTAACGAATCAACAAGTTCCTTAGAATACCAGCTTCATGGAGGTCTCCTAAGCTGATCATGTCTTCTACACCTTGCACAGAAGTGGCATGCATCGCCTTTATTCGCCTTTCCGGAGTCAGCCATTGTTCCTGGAAATTCCCGAATGAATTCATTGGCGAGACGAGTTCAAACACTTTCTCAACATCGACATCGTACTTATAATTTGCCGACAGGCAAGAGAAACGAGCAACAACTTTTCGAGTCGAGTCGAGAAATTTGGTGAATGCGGGAAGTAGGTAACGATTACCTTGTTATCGTCGTCTTTCACTTGAATGCGTCTGCCTTCCGCGGAAATTACTCGTGCTCCGATCGCAACGTCAAATTCTCTTCCTGAGATTGGTTCGATCCATATGTAATCTCCCTGCAACGTAATTTCGTTCACCGGTAATTTCCTTCTTTTGTTTCGGACATGCCGCGGGAATATCGACGCTTACGAGCACACGTTCTAATAACAACCGATAAAATTGCTCGCGTCTTAACATTCGAACGTCGATAGACGCGCGTCTTCTTCTTTTCCTCTTTCTTTTTTTCTTTCTTCTCGCTTTATACAATTAATCCGCGCTCGTGTTCGCGATCGCGAGGGATCGAGTTTCGAAAACATCAGGCGTGGCGCATCTGTCGCCGCGAATTCTACGAATATAGCCGTGTACAACCGTATATATAGCAAATATAACGTAAAAGGAGCGGCTGTTACAGATAAAAATCGTGCGTCTCCATCTTTGATGGACACTCGAAAGTTGCCACCATAATCCGTGCACCACAGCCACTATTCTCAGCCAACGAATCGATTCGATCGAGTAGCGTACGCGCGTACCATGTACAATTTCTCGTTTCTTTGGAACCCGATAGATTTTTCCTCGCTCCCTTCTTCCGCTGGCTCGCATAACCACCGATAATATAATTAGCCGAGTAAACGCGTATCGTTCCGGCTTCCAGTGACGCAATTTTACGCATAGTTCGATGCGATGCGATCGATCGCACTTCGAGCTTTCGTCTTGAACGCTTCGGCGCTTCAGCGAACGACGAAGTTTTCGCGAGTCACGCGACGTTGATTCCGTGCAGGCGAATTCATCGAGCGTGTCGTCGGCCGAAAAAGCTTTTTTCGGTCCTTTCGTTTGGTTCGCGTTCCTACGCATAAACCGTCGCCAACGATCGAATAAATATCGATGATCGAGATCGGCGGTGGTTGCGCACGCGCACCAAATTTTCGCGAGACTCGTGCGGCGCTTCCACGGTTCCGCGTATAATCGTTTACATCGTTGGTTCGTGGCTACCCTTCGCGCGCATCCATGCATCCGTTTTGGTGCGTTTGTACGATCGTCGCGCAGTTATTCTCAAACAGCGGCTTCCTCCAATATCGCGGGAACGTTCATTTCTTGCGAGATATCTGCCAGAGCGAAAAGTCGGAATCGGTATATTTTCTCTTAGAAGCAATCCGATCGGTCGACGTCGTTCGAACAATGGAAACGAAAACCGTGTTCGTTTCAACTGAAAGGTAATTTGAGAACCTCTAAGTTAGCCTACGCTTTACGGATACGACTATACGAACGCACAGACTGTGCCTGATATTCGTATACGTTCCGATTGTTCACCTCACCGGAACCACATCGGAAGAGCTCGTCCGCTCGTTACCACGAAGCCAGTCTCCGTTCAATTTGGCTTTGCCAGTCGGTTTTACTTTCGGCCGGCCGAGTCTATGAAAAAGCCTGACTTGCGTTCTTTCTCGTACTCTCGCGTGAATAATTCGCAGTTGCGTATCTCTCTGACGGTATCCGAACATGGATTCTCCTTCGAGGTTAGGATCGAACGACACGGGAAATTCGAAAAAGGTTCGTTCGTTCGCGGGCCGCTTGCCGTGGTAGAAGACGAGCCTGTATAACGTGATAGTATATGGACGCGTGCGCGTCCGCCACAGGGAAGGAATGGAATTACGATCGAGGGTACAAACGCGTGTCCGGCAAAACGATTCGCGTCCCGTTATACGACGGCTGGTTTGCTCGCGTGAAATGCTAAGCCGCTGTTCAGGGCATACGCCAAGTGACGAAGGACCGTTAACTATGCCTAATTAACCGACTATTCGTCTCATCCCACGTCGCAGCTGCGTCGACTGAGCATCGTCGACGGTGCAGCGACATCGACTTTTTTCTCCAACCAGATCAGATCGGAACGCGGCCTCTGTTCTTTGCGAACAAGAGATTATCCACGGCAACGAACGTGACGGAAAGACGCGGGAAGCGATCTCGTTTCAAGCACGTATTCCCCTTTTCCAGATATACCTACCTATCGCGCTTGAGCGAACCTTTTTGGAAATTACAAGGAACCACAGATTCGCTTTTTATTCGAGATCGTCGAATATCGCTAAACGAACGGGTAAATTTTCCATCTCCGGTTCCTAAGACTCTTCGTTGATCTGCCGGCAATCGAACCAACGAGTAACACACAGATTTACTTCGAGAGTTATTTGGACGTGTTCGCTCCGCGCATGATTTTTCATGCGCGGAAAGAATCTGAAGATGGTGGTCGATCTCCGTCATTTTCACTTGTCACAGATTCCTACTGACCGTCTTCGAAGAACGCGATGAAGAAAGCGGTAACATTACGCGCGAACGCTGGATCATCGTAGGTTCTTCGCATTCTTCGGTGTTGCGTGTTTGACACACTGATTTATTACTAATCATCCAGGACAAAGAAGAAGATGCGCGAAATGAAAACCTATTACGATGATACTTACCCGCGTGACGATGACCATCTCTCAAATCGTCGTTGTCGGCACTCCGCCTGAAAGAAAACAAAACTTTCTTCTTTCTCTCGTTCTCTCTTCTTTTATGTGCTCATTTTTTCCTTCAATTTTTCTTTCTTTTCTTTTCTTTTTTGCTATGCTGGTGCAGTCGTGCAGCAAAACGAAAAGGGGAGCATCTCGAGCATAGATATTAGCGGATAGATAACATCGTTGATAATAAGACGGGCGAGCAAACATCAGCAAAAAAAGTATGAAATTCCGAGAACTGAATTGAACGAACGAACGGAAAGAATGGCTACTGCGGCGGACTGACTCTACTTGCTGATAATCGAATCGAAGTCCCTTATGCGAATCTATACGGAGAAAAATCGTTCCAGCGTGCGATGATGATGTCCGGCTGATCACCGTTACAGTGGAAGCAGCACAAGCATAAACCTGTTCGCAAAAGTGGGTTAGGCAGTTTCTGCTGCTACCACTCAGCCGTACACCTTTCGAGAACATCCATCGAGGATTCTTACCATGAGATCGATCTCCCTTCTCTTACCGAGTAACTCCGTCGATTTGCAGCTCTTGTTCACAACGATACGACTTACCAAAGAAAATTAATCGAGAACGAGTCGACTCGAATGGAATCGCGTTAGACTCTTATGAAGCCGTATCGAGCGTCAGATTAGACCGAAGAGAGTCGAACCTTATAAGTTATAAACTCGAAGAAAGCTCGATCGAATGCAAAGAAATTGCAATTTACGCGTCACTAGCATCGATTTCGTTCGTCAAAAGACGACACGGATGAATTTGCTTCTATTATGCTCGCACGAATAACTCTCGGGTCGACGAACCGTTCGGCATTCTTTACTTTTTTCGTATTTCTTTCTTTTCTTCTCTTCTCTCATTACGACGAATCATCAACGTCCGACTCGTTTTAGAAATCGAGGAAAGTCCAAATATTTCGTGTAACGCCGTGTTAAATTAAGAATGCGATAAAATACACTGCGACCTGATAAGTAGGGGAAAAGGTCCGGAAAGCGATATATACCCTTGAACTTGAGAGACGACACACGTGGAAAGACGTCGCAGTCGTTGACTTTGAAAATATCGGGAGAACAGAACGGAGGATGTATGCACCGCCTACGGGAGACTTTAATGGGCGATCGGACGACACGCGTTTCTACGTGGTACGTTACGAACCGTTGCAATTCGATTAAAAATCAGCAAAACTAATGCTTTCTATTCCAATACGTTACAGAACAAATAACCTTGATTTGCATTTCCTAACCACTCTACTAAAATCCTACTTCCATAGTTTTTTTACTTGCTGTAATCGCACTCGTTCAAAGAATTATTTCTTACGTCACGATCGTTTTCCACGTGTGCATCTTCGTTCTATTCTAATTCTCTTTGTATTCTGCGATTATCTTCTGATTTCATGCAATAAAACGAACGTCCACACGATCTCCGAAAACGAACAACGTTTTCCTTTATGCGTTTCTTTACACCGATTCAACACAAATTTACGTTCTTTCCCGCGGAAGAGTACACGCGAGTTTGAAACTCTGCCGATAGTGGAGAAAATGATTCGGTCCGGATTAATCAGATGTAAGTGTAGAGTACGCGATCTTTTGGTAAATATCTCAAGATTCAAGACGTGAAATATTACTTTTTTTTTATCTGAATCCAAGTCTTATCTCATTTACTTATTACATATCGTATTTTAACACTCGTTCTGTACACTTACACGTATGGGCCGTAATTACGCGGAATCGTTGGTATTCTATTCTCCTTTTCATCCTTCTAACACTATTCTTTACGTAAAAAATTCATTTACAAAGACGAATACTTGATATTCGCGTGAAGTTTGAAAAATAAATGGCGATGGTAGTTGACTTGATATTTGAGAACTCGGTAGATATCAACGTCCGTTTCAAAGGCTGTACTAACGCGGTAATAAAATTATGTACATACATATAACGTCTATCGTAATCGTCTGATCTAGAGGTAAAAACGGACGCGACTCAGCAGTAACTTAAGAGTTTCGTTTCCGATCTGTGAAATATCTGCCAGAACAATTTTGTCATTCCGAATGGAATATTATTTACTTGTGAAAAATGGACGTTGATGTCGTGCAAAAGATGTTTCTCAGTAAACGAATAAATTCGAACGTACCTTATGCGAGTAACGAGAAACACGACGAAAGTGACTACACGATGTCGGCACACTCCATTAAGAGGCACTGCACTGCACTTCGAATACGACGTGAAGCGCGCTTTTCATGTCCGACGTGACTAGAGAAGCTCGTCGAAGCTTAGCGTTCGAAAAAACCGATGAACATGAAAAAAGGAAAGATCACGTACCGCACTATAAACTAGGACACGAAAAGCAACAGTAATTGTTTGAGAGAATAGGCCACAGCGGTGACCGGCACGTTAACTCGTCCACTCGGAGAGCTTCGGTTCGAATCGGGTGTGCCAGGTGGAAGCAACTGAAAGAGGTGGAAAAACTACCTTTGGCTAAACCACGATCGGCTTTGACTTCGGCTACGTGAAATCCCACCAATCGCCATACGTCGCCAATCACTCTACCTCGTGTTTACCGAATACTGTCTTCTCGACAGCTCTTTAATTGTTGCTTTCTTTTTAAAGATCTCCGAATCTTCCTCGATACTTCCTTTATCTCGAATTCATCGTGACGTCATTTGCTATAAGGTATACCTGCTGCGTATCTGCAACCTGTTGCGTTGCGATTCCCCTCCTCGGAACGATGTTCTCTTTACCGATCGAGAAGTTCGCTTCCTCTTTGCAGCTTCGGCTGCGGAATGGCGGCAAAAACGAATTAACATTCGATCGTGCAATTTGAATTCCAATCTTCTTCCCTTAGTTTCCTCGATTGATTCATCGGTTCGAATAATACGTTAGATACATGACATAAGGACAAACGAATCGTTTACATTGAAAATATATTTTCATTTTATATGAATTTCACATGAATGATATACATACATAAAATGTAATTTCTGTAACTTTTAACATATACATTAATATGCAAAGTACTGAAAACTTCTGCAACAATAACAACATCGACGATGTTATACACGTTGCAAATTAACAGTTTCATAAAATCGTTCCTATATATAAACACGATCTTTTTTACGTAACGAGAACGGCACTTTCTCACCAACGATATATTTTTCACGAGTACTGCAATCAATTCTGTACGAAAACTATAACAATGTACCACGTTGCGTTGTTATTGATGTTGTTTATCTTAACAGCAACGACAAATTCATTGCTAAGTAACAATTTTGATATCGATCACTCATAATCACGTAGCTCATAAATCAAGTAGTCGATCGATGCCTTCCAATGGACGACAATGCATCGCGAATACAGCAAATTATTTTCTAAGATTAAAAAGCTATTATCACTCGATGTAACGAAGCAATGGTAGATCCTATAACATACATTTGGAGTATTGCTTCTTAAAAAATGTACATATACATGTATGATCAACACTTCGCGCGTGGACATTGTAATAGTATTAATTATATAGCAAAGTATATTTCACGCGTAGCATATAGAAACTGATTAGAAAATATATGTTTAACTCTGTATAAAATAATAATATTAAATAATTTCCTGTAGAATCCATACATGATAAAAATATACGACATAATAGTAGATCAAAGGAAAAGGCGTATTTAATGCCATACGTTTGCCAAAATTGTATTCATACTAGTACACTGCTTGATTTTTAACGTACTTCTACAATAAATATAATTTTTCCTTCCTCAAATGCTTTTATCACTTACAATAGAGAAATCAATATTATGCTAATCTGATAATGAAAATTGCATCCAGGTACAAGGTATGCATCCTATTATTAAATGGAATGATTGAATAATTACAAACACAAATTTCATTAAACAAATTAAATAGTCTATAAAGAGAAGACTTGTTTCCTATTTTAATTATACATACTTGTTTGCAGAAATCGTAACATACCTATAACTTTGATCATATATTGTTTAATCAAATTTTTACTTTTCATCATTTCTGTAATAGTATGCATGAATCTAATTATTAATATTAGTAATGGTATTATCATTATTATATAATTAGTATATTTGCATAACCTGTACCTAGTTTAAATGTTTGGAGAATCATAATGAATGTCTAGAGACAAATTAGGTTTCGGGATAAAGCACCTCGTATAATTGCTTGTAAGAAACTATAATATAAATAATTAGGAATGCAACAAAAGAAAAAAAGAAACGACTAGGAACAACATTGACAGTCATCGACAATGTTTTAACGAATTACTATTGTTTAAATGAGTACGCAGTTTAGAGCAATTCCTCAAAATTATCAATCTGTATATTAGATTATTAATATAATTTCACACTATGCATACTAATAAAAACTTTGATATAGACCAAAAAGTGTTAAAAATTTTCGACTATATATCAGTCAGATGAAAATGTAATTCAGCTTAATTTTGTACTTCAAAATGTAAAATTTCTTACAACTTCACATGACATAATGTATTTTTTAATAATCATATTTTGTTCGTTTAAAACAAAAATAATTTATTTATAGTTACTGCGTTAAACGTGTAATGAAACAGTAAGATTACTTTTTGTAATGAATTTGATTAAAAATCCAAATCTATTGATTAGTGCTTTGGTCGTTTGTAAATATGATTGCACTAAATAAGATTAAAAAATATACTATTTTCTACCATTTGCTGAATAAGTTATGGAGTTAGTTTTTCTCTGTTGGAAGAGTACTTGCAAGTATATATATTTATATATATATTTTTTTTTCCAGTTATATAGATATCCTATTTTGGTGTTGCAGATATTTCACGAATCCAGGATTTTCTTATGCAAGAAGCAAATTGTAATATGTAGAAACGTAATTGTTTTTATCATCAAATAAACGGATTTTAAAATGATTTCATAGTCGTAAAAATAGGCTCTGGATATTATACTTTTACATTGAAATAAGACAGTAGTTTTCTATTATGCCTTACGATTTGATTAATTTTGTTATTTGTAGATAAATATATCTGGAAGTTCACTGAAGAAGTGCAGAAATATCCCAAATCTTAATAAGACGATCTTGACCAATAGTTAATAATCGTCGCCTAGGAGCATCAAGATCCATTCCAACGACATTATGCTTTGCGTCATGGAACGATGCTAGAGATGTTTGGCTATATAACACATGCATAATTTCATTTAAACATCCAGCTTGTTTGTCAATTTTAGTGATAAATCTAAGTTCATTGTCCCTACTTACTTTGCAGCTTTAAGTTGAATATGACACTGATCGCACACTCTAACTTCAAATTCAAAACCCATTGCTGGTATTGGTATTCGCTGAGATGTACATCGTGCGCATAATGCACGACCACAATGACGGCAATGGTGCTGTCTTAGACCTAATTGTCGTTGATCCATCATAGCTTTAATATTCCAAAAGAATGGTCTTCCACAAGCCTATATTTATCATAATATTTATATATATAATAAAATGTTGTTTAATGTAGGATCATAATTAGCATAAAAAACCAAACTGGTTGTAGCATTAAATTTCAGAATCAAGTTAATTATAATTTTACAATTACATACTTGGCACGTATCGGATTCTATCCAGGCTGCAGTTTCTTTTCTATTTGCAGCCATATCCCAGCATACTATTACACCATCTTCTCCTCCAGATAACAACACACGCTCTGCGCTTGCATAGCACAATGCAGTTACTTTGTTGCTGTAAAATATGTTTAATTGTGATTGCAAAAAATATAAACTGGAAACTAATTTGAGAAGAATTTCTTAGTAGACTGAATAGCTTACTGATGTCCTTGGAGTTCATAGGCTGTACCTTGCCGGCCTCCAATATCCCATACTATGATACTTTGATCGAAACTTCCAGAAAACAAAAGCTGCTTTTCAAAATCCCATGCTAATGTATGAATGCTTCCTGTATGTGCCTTTAAAGTAGTAATTAGTGTAACACCATTAGTATCTAATTTCAACATTGCTATTTGTCCAGAATAATCACCAACAAAGGCATGTTTTGATTGCGCGTCAAATCTGAATAAGTTAAGGAGATGTGTGTAGTTTTAAAGAGAACTTCTTTCAATGTAACATACATATCTAATAATTAAGAAATCAGTTAGAAATTATTTCTCACAAAAGGATACTGCAGAGCGGTGTACCATGCATCAGTTTGATATGATCCTAATTTTTGTCCTGTTTCTGAACAATGTAATTGAAACATCTTATCTCGACCTATACTTAAAACCCATTCGCAATTTGATGCAAATATAACACCTGTAACTCTCGCTTGATGTGCAGCATATTCACGCATGGCAGTCATTTGATTATAATCTTGCTCCAGAATGAATTCCTGAAAATAATGAAAGTACATTGAAATAAAAAAAGAAATTGATCATTTTCCATAGAAAACTCTTTTAATACATACATTTATAGTTCCATTCTCCAAACCAACAAATAATTGTCTAGTTTGTACACAATAATGCATTGATGTTGCACCAGCAGCCATATATTGACAGACACTTGGCCAATATTGGCCAGAATCTCGTTTCAACCAAACTCTAACAGTTCTGTAAAAGACATTTCCTTAAGAACATGAATAGCTGAAGAAGAGAAATTTTCGACTAACTATTGTAACGGACAATTAAGAAATTCAATTTTAATATTACAACTCGAATATAATACTCATCTACCTGTCATCGCAAACACTAATTACACCATCTTCCCGCGGTATAATGATAGCCGCATTAACATCGTCATTACATCCTTCTAACTTCGATAAAAGTATAGGTTTTCGACTTGTGCTGAATTTATCATGATTTACTCCCGGTGCGGGCTTTATCTCTGCTGCCATTTCAATCTTTAAAACGTAATATTTGAAGCAGACTTGTCATTTGACAGTTGTCAGACTTCAATGATGATCAGAGTTTATATGCGTTATGAAGACGGAAAGTCGGATTTTTTAACAGATTGTGGAGAACCTATCGGCGCTATTCGTGTTATTCCTCGTGAATTTTTCTTTCCTTCCTTTTCGAGTTCCTCTTTATCGACTGTTACAACTTTCGTGGAAGTTTCTATTTGCGTGCATTATGTAATAGAAATGTATGCACACACGATTTATGTTGAAGATGTAAACAAAAAATGATGATCAATTGATCTCGCCAACAGGACCATTATCTATAGCAGAGCTTTGTTACCAACTTCCTTGCAGACACAGCAAATCAATTATTTTTCGGATTACTTTCTTTTTATTAAATAATTATGTTGCGAGGCGATAATTTTCCAATGTTTTTACAAAATTAATTTTCAAATAATTCTTTTAATAACTAGTGCCTGATTACTTAAAGTTCTTATTGATATTTATCGGCTTCTATTGTTGGTAAACGTTATTTCATAGACAAGATGCAGCCATAGACGAGATAAATACAGAATGGACGTGACATGCATGCTTTTTCACGCCCTATGTTTTGGTGGACTTTTGAATCCGTTACCATTCTTGTATCACATGCAACTGTATCAATTAATATATAGTATAGAACTGGCACAGATAAGTACTTACTGGTTTGACTAATTATTAAAACCATCGTTGCAGAAAATAATCTTAGCATGTGTTACAAAATAAAGATTTTATAATTTATACAGCAATTAATAACGAAGTAAACAATGATAATAAATTATTTTCAATTCAAGAAATTTCTTTTTTTTATTATAGTTTCGCTATCAATTCTCAAGGACTATTTTAAATTGCTAATTATTAATCATTTTTAAGAATGACATTTATTTTTAATAAAGACATATAAATACATTTTAATAAAGACATATAAATTAATAAAGACAATAAAACTGCTTCATTCTCTTCCATTTATTGAAATATTTGAATTATTCAAATATATTTATTAATAATAGTATGAATAATTAAATAATGTACCGTTATAGCATTTTCACATATAAAATCAAGGACATAATTTTATTACTGTTAATGGACATTGCCTTAAAAATATGTTTCCTATTCATTAATTTCATCAATTTGACAGTTTGAATTGATTAAATTAGCGCGCGCTTGTACACAGGAAAGTCGAATGCTCCTATTGGCGCAATATATTACAAAATCACATCGGGCGTCTCTATTGGTGAAAAATATTGTAAAGTCAAATCGAGCATTTCTATTGGCCAAGAATGTTGCATCGCTCGTAATTTGAGGAGAACGCTTGGCGCGGGGTGACATTCTCTGTTGAAATCTGTGGAGTGAGAATTTGTCGCATTAGCCCGTAATTATTAGTACTTTCATTCCAATGTTATCATTATTTCTACACTTCTATCTGCTTCATTTGAATAGTACGTTCTTATTTAATCACTTATTAATCATCATTTGAGTAAGATTAAGTAGTTTTCCAAAACTTTTTCTGCACTTTTCTCGTTGACTGCATATCTGACGGTTAGTGTTATCGATAGCTCATATTATCGACCTTTGGAATAGAATTTAGATTCTATTATTGGTTTATTTTATTATAACTTGTTCTAATATTTTAAATTATTGGTTTTGTCATATTGGTTATGTCATCTATTTGAAATTGTTGGTTTCCTACTGTACAGATTATTGGTACGTGATCGAAACAATAGGGATTTACGGAATAATGGACACCACAGGTGATTAATAACCATTTCGTTGATTTTTCATGCAGATTTGGTAATGATTGAGCTATTATAACAAAGCAAATGTATGTATATGTTTATTTTCCCTTTTTGTTCGATCAATGGTAATTAATATTTGTTACATAATTGTTACACAGCTTACGATTGATATCTAATAACATTATTTTATAAATAGTTGCATAATTTCTTAAAAATGTTAAAATGAAAGAAAAAGAGGTTATAGAAATCATTTTTTAAATTAATGTTTTCATATCAACATGTAGCAAATTATACGAATCATTTAATTGTTATTAGAAGATGATCTATCGCAAACTTATTACGTTTGTACATATTTGTACGAGAATATCAGTTTATTATTTCCTCGGAAGAGACTGAATAAAACTTGTTGAGACACGTGCAGGATTATATGTATATACGCCATAATCACTTCAGGCATGTTTAGTTAAAAAAGTCTAATTTATTACAAGCATTGTCGAATCTTCATAAGGTGCAACGTAATATATTAATAAAAACCATATTTCAAACTCTGATGACGAACATTCACAATTGAATTCTTCTTGTAGAGTTGGTTTTATATTTCAGAATATTGATAAATATTTGGAAACATGTTAGAAAATATCTTGCAATCGATAAACAGTGTTTGAAATACTACACGTATATATAGGCTTCCAGAAACGGCGATATCTCCAAAACAAACTCTCACCCCCCCCCCCTCTGTTTCTCACTGCTAATACAATCTGTTTTCAGAGAATGTTTGTGTCCGCGTGCAATGCGGTCGGTAGAGTCAGTTTTTGCTGCGTAATAACATTTGTGTTTTCTAGAGTACAATAGCTCTTAATAATTATAAATCTAATTACAATAGTTGTACGCGAAATTAGAGTCAGTGTGTTCGCCGATTGTTAATTACGGACGCGTTAATAGCCCTTTTTTTTTCTTTTTTATACATCATTTTAAACATTCGCTTTCGGTAGTAGAGTCGCAGGTTTCGCAAGAGGATACAATTTCTCCTGGGACTTGAGAATGTAAGTATTTCTATGTATTGCATTCTAAATTATTTTATTATTCGTATTTTAAATGAACTATTATCAATTTTTATTGACATAATATTTTTATATTTTTACATTTTACACAATATTAAAATCGTAATATTGAAATACACAATAAAAATGTTTATTATGTTTAAAAAATGATTAAATTGTCATCATTTTTAGTTTAAAGTTTGTAATTTTAGCGTTCGAATTTTTATAATAATTAGATTTTAACAGAATTTCGATTTTTGTTGTTATTAAAATTTCAAGTTTCAATAGAATTTTATTTTTCATTGCCCTTAAACTTTTTAAATAATGAATAGTGTATTTTTAAGAATAAATTACAATATTTTACTTGTTTTGTTTCAGGTATTTCACAACTTCCAGCTTTTCTTGTGTTTGTGGAAGGATGCAGTGATGCTTGAAAACTAAGCATGTAAGAATCTGTGCATATCGTATTCCAATTAATTTTATTCTTTGTATTTTGCTTTAATTATTATTGATTAAAAAAATAAGGTCTAACCTTAAACTTTAATATCAAAATTCCACTTGTTATAGTAATTAGAGTTTAATTTAATTTTTTTTATTATTATTAGTTCAAAGTTTTCATAAATTGTTTTATATAATAGTTCATATCTTATTTAAAGGTTTATCATTCCTTCCTCTTCTGCGTGTTTGCTGAAAAGGACCTAGTGGTGCTTCAAAAGCCAAGAATGTAAGTAATTTTGTAATCTGTACTTAATTTTATTCCTTGTTATCTAAATTTGTCATTCTTGAATTGAATATTGGCATTATAATTTTAATAGAGATCAATATTCCACTATTTCAAATTTTTCAAATAATTAACATTTTCCTTAAGAACAAATTATAATATCCTATGTTCTGTTACAGTTTTCTTCTATGGCATTATATGGCCTCTCCTTGATGATGATCCACACCATGACTTTCCCTGGTCTGCTACAGCATCGATGACCTCGTCCTTCACATCATATCGTAAGTCGCATGCATTTTTGTCCCTCCGGTCACTCAATCATGTCGTAGGACGAAAGGTCCAAATCGACACGGGTGATTGGTTGTAATTTACGTAGAATTTTTTGCGAGTACAGTGACCGCGGATATTTATTATATGCGTGAGTAGTAACATTTCTTCTATGTATTATTTATTAGTTCAGGATAGGTCTTCTTGCACATCGCGTTTTTTTTTTTATATCAGTTACATGATACTAACAAATTTTATATTAATAATATCAATAATTGTACTAACTGATACAAACGATATATTAACAATTCATTTGAATTTTGTGATTGAGGATATGTTCACTATAATTACTTTTGAAGTTGGAATGTGTATTTACTGAGAATTAAAATGACTTAATTAAATATTTCGTAGTAATGAAGTCGGATACCCTCCGACTTCGTTGCGTTAAAAATTGCTATTATTGCATATCTAATGATAATGATAATAATAAGTTTTTATTTCATCTCCTGTTTTCTGTTGACATTATTATTTATTATGTTTGGATATTGATTTAAGATATAAATATAGAAATATTAAAGTTCAATCCTGCCGTCAAAAATGTATTGAATTTTATGTGCAAGAAGAAATTTCGCGACAGGTAAATTTTAGAGTCAAAGCAACAAGTTTTGAATACTGTTTTCATACTTTCGAATATGTGCTTTGACGAAGGAATTGCCTGAGGTTGTTTGTATTAATATTTAATTTTGAGTCAAGTATTAAATAAATTTCTTATTCAGTGTCAGTTTGCCTTCTTTGTAATGTAATTTCAATAACATTTTGGTAATTTATTAAACAAATAAAGTAGAGTATAGAGTGTTAGTAATTGAGATAAAATATGAAAATGCAAAATGAAAAAAGATTAGTCCGCTAAAGACGAAATAGATGCACTAATACATTCTTTTTAGTTAGGATTTTCAGGTTTTACCCTTTCCGTGTTCATTGCCAGGACCTCACTCACGTGCCCAGGTGCTACTTGGGTGAGAGAAAGGCAATGGGTACGATGATCACTGATTTTATAATAATTTGTAAGCGACTGACGATGCGTTAGTGTATCGTGCACGACGTACTTTCCACATAGTGTGTGTGGTTAGGCTGTGGAATTGCGTCGTTTTAATATTTATCCCATTTGCTATAAATTTATGTAATAAAACATAAATTCACACAAATATTAGTTCAATTATAACCTGTGAAAACAAAGATTCGTTATTAAATACGGCGAATCACAGGTATTAGTATTATTAATTTTCTTGTTAAATTATAATATATGGTACCAAATTTCGTACCATCTATAATTTCTTTGACAAATAGATACGTTCTTTGTATTATGAATATTTTTAATTAAAACTGAGATTTACTTTTATTGTGTTGTACGCAATGGTCGCTAGCCTTCGTCAGTCGATTTCAGGAAAATGGTACGTAATATTAGAGTGTGCATGTTGTGTGCCAAACTCGGGTGTCGGAGGCGTCCCGGGACGTTCTCTCTAGTGTAGGTCCTTGCGCCCGAGTGTTATGTGTGAGAATCGTGGAG